TTTTTGCAACTAAATTCTTTCAATTAAAACTTAGAAATACAAGGACATATAACACTTACTTTTTAAGACTTGATTTTTGTTGCACATTGATATTGAATCCAAATGTTTTGGATCCGGCTGAGCTGTTTGCTTTGCAATAATACTGTCCAGCATCCTCTGGGAAGACCTCTTTGATGACAAGACAATGGGTATTGTCTTTCACCTTGTACTCAAAGTCTTCACTGTTTTCTATGGGATTGTCACCATAGTACCATGTTACTGAGGGACTAGGGGTACCTGTTAAAAGAATGTGGACGAAATAATCAATCAATCAATCGTTTACAGAAGCATGGATATTTTGAGATGTATAGAATACAAAGAGATGGAATGAACACGGAAAGAAGAGGGACGGGAAATATGGAACCAGGAGATGTTTTTGTAATCAGGGTTATCATTAAGAATCATAGTAGGGGGCTAAAATTATAAAAGTAGGGGGAGAAACTGTCATTTTCCAATTGAATTAAATAAGCAACAATTAGAAAATTAGAAACATATACCGGTATATAATAACTAAATATAAAACAAAATTTTTTTTTTCAAAAAAAAATAATCAAGATATATGGAAAATTATGTGCATTTTTTAAAATATTTAAACTATGTACCCAAATTTTGGTAGTAAACTTAATGCCTTTAGACAATGAAAAGAAAGAAAACAGAATTGACAACTCATACCTGTAACAGTACATTGTAATACAAGCTGGTCACCATCTTCAGGAGATTGTTCTGTATTTGGTGTCTCTATAAATTTAGGTGCTGATTCTTTGTCCATCTTTGAACTGATGAGGATTTACCAGATTTTCTTTTATCATCCTTAGATCCACCAGATTCCCCAACAGCATCTTCAAAGTTGTCATCAGAACTGAGACCTAGGCAACAAAGTATACAAGAATATTGCATAAATTAACTTTGAAATTAATAGTTGGTATCAACTATCTTTTAACAGGAAGAAATAATTTGGCAAAATGAGAAGAAGATGTGGAATAGAGAGATAAAGATAAGGCTTCCAGCTGTTGAGTGTGAAGGGAGTAGAGTGAAAGAGAGAAATTGGGAAGGGTATCGGGCTGCAGTGGACAGAATGAATGTTGTTATAGAATAGGCTTTATTATATTATACCAGTATATTGATGGTGTTAATCCATTGATTTGATTGGTCCAAACACAAAATTTGCATATGCAATCCATGGTATATTGGCTGATAATGCACGGCTAAACCAAGTGGCCCTGGAACATGAATTGACTACAGGTTTAATACGGAAATACATAAAACTGGTATTATTTGATTTTTAGGGAAATATAGTGGTTGAATTTTAGAAGAATATTGAAAAAAATACTGAATTAAAAACATCTGAAAAGTTATATAACTATAATATTGCTTTTTGTAAATGTTGGGATCCAAGTTGTGAGCGTCGGTCGTTGGGTGATTGTCGTTCGCCACACAAACCTAAACCACCGTCCCTTAACACCGTGAGGTGCCTACACGAACGCCAGAACGCTATGTTCTCAGTGTTGTTACTTTGAGATGGATTGCGAACTTCCAACAAAGAAAACATGATCTTTAAGTGCAAGATATAATTGAGGGATTTATTGACATAAAAATGCAAAAAACTATGAGTCACAAGCAAAAATGTATGCCACCAATAACAACCGGTGTTCGGTAGCGGCAGCTGACAAAATTGCAGTGCACCCGGGTAATTGCCATCTGTTCAAAAAACACGGGACAATGCAGGGTTCGACGA